GGGGGGGGAGTGAGGGGAGAGCGGGTTGACAGAGGGGTAAAAGGGTGTGTCGCCGCAGAAGCAGCCGTGTGCTGTCCAGCAGCAGCAGCAGAAGAAGAAGAAGAAGAAGAAGAAGATGAAGAAGAAGAAGAAGAAGAAGAAGAAGAAGAAGAAGCTCACAAAAAAAAGAAAGAAGAAGAAGTCTCATGGGGGAGCGGGGGGTTTCACTAACTTTCCGTACTTCTGGCAATGGCAATGGCGATGGGCGACGGCAAGGGTGACGGCAATGGGCAGCACAGCGACTTGAAGAAACAACGATAACACAAATGAAACTTCATTGAACATTCACATGATTGAACAGAGAGTACACAACAACTTCAGAAGACACGGGCTCCCCAACTGGTTTCTCGATCATCACCAGGTGATCTCCCTCAGCGTGTTTAGTTCCGCCCGCTCGTCTCCCTTAAAAAGAAACACCACCCTTCCACCAACCCTCCTCCTCCCACTCAGCCGCATCCCCAGGGCCGCCATGAGTGTCGGTCCCAAAAGTGCCTGCCTGAGCTCAGTGAGCTGGATCTTAGAGGTGGTGGGAGGGTTCGAGGCCCGATCCAGTTACTCCTCAATCTGGACAGCATTGATTCTGAAGCTGAGACACCTTACCCCATCGCCGAACCCGAGCGGAATAGAGGGGCTTGACTGAGATGAAGGACCGGCAGAGACTTCAAACATGGGTGACATACGCCCTTTTTTTTTTCTTTTTTTTTTTTTTTTTTTAAACATGCGTTCAATTTGGTGATGGAATTCGAGGATAAAAGCCAAAACAGGCAATTATCGATTTATAATTTATCAGCGAAATGGTTTCTGGGTTCTTGTCATAATTGGGAAAGGGAGGTTGGGCCCATTTCCCATTTCGGCCCTTTCCCATTTCCCATTTCCCAGCTCGTGTTGCTCCCTGCAAATGGATCGGAGCTTGTTTCCCTTAAAAATAAGAAAAAAAAAAAACAAAAAATAAACGAGGGACCAATTTCAGGATTTCAGCGGAAATCAGGCCAAAACAAGTGATGGTGGATCTCAGAACTAAAATGAAAAATGAATTATTTAAAATTCTAAATTGCAATGAAATTTTAAATCGTTTTTAAATTTCAAATGATATAACTTTTTTTTAATTTTTAATTATTGTATCCAATTAATAAATTATATGAAATAAAAGCAGTTTAGTATCAACTTTACATCATTGCAGCGCAAGCTGTTATGAAATCTCTTCTTTTCTTTTCTTTTTTCCCTTTTTTTTTACCAGCTTAAATTTTTAGAGCAATGCAAATGAAGCCGAAAATTCCACTTACAGCAAATAGACCTCTTTGGGCCCAACTCCCAATCCAAAGTCAACCTCCTTTCTCCCACTCCATGGCTTGGCGATGACCAGCTCATCTATCAGGAAAAAAAAAAGAGAAAAAAAAAGAATCAGACCAAATATAAGTAGTACGTAGGGATAATACCATCAGATACCTGGCATCACTGCCATCAATAAATTAAAGGGTGCTTGTTTTTTTTTTTGTTTTTGTTTTTTTTTTGGGCGAGGGGGTGGGCGGGGGTGGGGGCAACTCACCAACTTTTACAACCAAAGGGTCTCCGTACCAGGTCCAGAGAGTGGACCTGGTACAGAACTCCACTAAGCTTACATACATAACATAAGCCATGGAGTGGGAGAGAAAGGAGGTCCTTTAAACAAGTAGGAGATGTTAGGAGACGGATCACAACATTCTGCACAGACTGGGTGGGAGGGGAGAGAGAAGGATGGGTTGCAAGAGTAGAATGGAGCGGAGACAGGGGAGAGGGACAGAGGGACTTGGAAGAGATGAGAGACTATCGCCTAAGCTTCAAAGACTGGACAAACATAGAACCCTCGTTCCCACTTCGCCCCCCCGCTGATTTTCCAGACCCTTTCCCACCCCATGCTCTTTCCCTGGCAGAGATCCTGTCCTGAATGATAAAATCCTGTAACCCAGTCTTCTATACATTTCTTACTCATACAAGGAATTCCTCCCTGGAGCCCCCCGGGGAGGTTTTTCTTCTACTAACAGCCTTTTTTTTCCCTTCTTTTCGCTGCTCAGTGATTCCTCCCTTCTACGGATTGGGGCAGTCAATGCTGGCAGCCTGAGCACTGGGGGACTGGGATAGTGTGTATCAGTAGGTATCCGGCGCCGGGTTCAGGGTGAAGAGGTTCCCCCTTCCTTCCAAATACCCTGCTCAGTCAATCCCCTGGATCCCAGGGTAATCAATGCTGGCAGGGACCCCCCCATTAACTGTTTTTCTTCTGATGTACTCTATATCCAATCGTTATATGGGACGCTGGACCCGTTTTCCAGCAGGTGATGATCCAATAGTTGGAGCCTCTCCCCAGGTGGTAGTGGTGTCTTCTCTTATCAGCACCACTAACACTGCCGGGGGCATGTTTTGCTATAAAAGAAAAATAAAAAAAAAGGGAGAGAAAGGAGGTTGACAATTTGGAAGCAAGAAGAAATTTCCTCAAAAATCAATCAAATTAAATCCCCTTGGAGAGAGGTGGAGCGAGGCCCAATGTCCTCACAAGCAGGAAGTATGCCTTTGTGTCTCTATCAGAACACCCAAAAAAGTGAATGGCGGTAGCCCGGTTGGTCAGGCGCCTGTGCTCTGTACAGGTTGCTGTGTTTCAAGACACAGGCAGTGGGATCGAGTCCTGGTTGGCTCGGTCGAGTGCGTTGGCACTCAGCAAAAAATCCCGCGCTAGGAATGCGTGATATTGGACTCCAGCACATTCACATACCCGGCCGGGTACCCCACGGGGGACCGTCATAAGGCTGTGTAAAGATGTATGGGGTTTCGCGCCCCTAGAGCATCCTGCTGGCTATGCTTACGATGTACACAGTTGGGAGAGGGGGGTTGCTGAGCGACTGGGTACCATTGGGAGTCTCCCGGCTTGGAATGCCCCTGCTCTGCCCTGGGTCTGTCGTGGGAGTGTGATAAAGCACTGGCCACCAGTGTAGGGCCTGCCTATACCTCAGCCTGCACAACCTTTAAAAAAAAAAAAAAAGACAAAAAAAAAAGAAAAAAAGAAAGAAAGAAAGAAAGAAAGAAAGAAAGAAGAAGAAAGTTGGAAAAAAAACTCAGCTTTATGCAAAGCAGCTAAAGTGAGGTTAACCAATCAAAGAGAGTCTGGACTCTGCAGGCCATTAAAACCCACCAGTACATGGTCCAGGGAAGCTTGAGAATCGAAATCGGATCATTCCAAAGCTCGTGGCTAACGCGGCCCATAATGGCTGGCGGTGCCAGCAAAAAGAAAAGGAAAAAAAGCAGCATGCTGCCTTTTCCGCAAAGCTTGGTGCGCAAGGGGAATCCGCCTCAGCAAAAAGGGACTCTGATGAACTGGTGGTTTAAGTCTGACTCTCAAAATTTGTGCGGTTTATGATAGACAAAAATTCAGAGGTGCGCATTTGAAAGTTATCAACTGAACAAAAAAATATATACAGGGTTGCCGGCATTCGGGACCGGCCGAAAGCCTGAATCGGACCGCCCGAACGTATGGGAGGCCGTTCGGGCCAAACGCGGACCCAAAACAACAAAAAAAAAAACCGTCATCAAAAAGATCTGAAAAAAAGATATGTTATGGAGAAAAATATATTAAACAAGATTTGCCTGAGCATTACATCCGAATTCCTTACCAAATTTGAAATACAAATAAAATACGGAAAACAAATACTAATAATAAAAATAAATAAAAATAAAAAGAGAATTAAATTTAGTGAGTGCGCAAGCATGTTTTCGACACCGCCATCTTTGGCGATTTTTCATTTTTTTTTTGGCATAGCTAAATGCCCTGAAAATTTACAGATGTGTACTTAACATAATACAAAAACCACTAAAAAAGTTTCAAAAAATAATAAAATTGTTTAGACCCTGAACTAAAAAGTAAAAAGTGAAAAAATACGTAAGCGAGCACGTTTTGACACCGCCATCTTTGGCGATTGTTAATTCTTATTTGGCTTAGCCAAATGACTTGAAAATTTACAGGCATGTACCTCACGTCATAGAGAGCTCACAAAAAACAATTCAGAAAAAAATAATTATTTTTAGGTCCCGAAACAATTTTTGGCGGGGGCCGAACGCCGTCGGGTTCGGACCCCGTACGGGACCCCGAACGCCCGTACGTACGGAGGTCTGCCCGGGGACCTCCCTACGTACGGGCTGGTGACCCTGTATATATCGTCACAAATAGAACTGCCCGGTAAATATATATATCATCACAAACAGAACTGCCCGGTAAACCGTAGGCAGAGAGAGAGAAGAGGACAACAAACGAGGGGCTGTGACAAACTGTTTCGTCGGAGTTTCACCGACTCATCATATATATCGTCACAATATATATCGTCACAAATAGAACTGCTCGGTAAACCGTAGGCAGAGAGAGAGAAGAGGACAACAAACGAGGGGCTGTGACAAACTGTTTCATCGGAGTTTCATATATATCGTCATATATATACTTGCAGATGTCATGCAGCACACACGTCGCTGCGAAAAAATATGTGAGGGAAGGTCCCTGCAAAAAAAAAACAAAAAAAAAAGAACACATGGAAAGCCCTACCTTCTTTCCCCGAATACAACGTACGGTCATTATAGCTGTATTGATACCCCAAATAAACCTATAATGACCGTACGTTGTATTCGGGGGAAGAAGGTAGGTAGCACGACATGATCGGGCGGATTAACTGTCTGAATCATCCAGCCGGAACATTCGGGAGTAGCAGGTTTACCCGCATTTTTTTTTATCAGCACTTCTCTTTTTCATTTCTTCGTCTCTTCATCTCTATCTCTATCAGCATTTCTCTTTTCGTTTTCAAAGTCCGACGTCCTTTAGATATCATCATCTAACCGACCGGCCCTAAGGTAATTCAGAATTCTACTATTATTCTAGTATAATTTTACTCATCCGCTTCCAGTGGAGTCCGAACTCCGGCCTTTATTTCAGCTTGTTCAGCAGGTCTACAGAGTCCTACGGACTGACCTAGGCCAAGTTGGTGTCATTTATTTTTCTCTTTTCTACTTGGTAATTATCTCCACCTCCATGTCTCTATTTTTCTGGCGTACAGGAACGGTGATCCTTCTTCTTTTTTTTTTTTCTTTTTTTTAAAAAAATGGCTCCGTTCCATTGGTGGGGAGCTGCACCTGCTGGAAAACGGGTCCAGCGTCCCTTTACCTCATAGTGAGTGGAAATAAAAAGTACAGCTCATGCTGGGAACCGGGCCCAGCGTCCCATCCTGAGTCTATCACCTCATAGTGAGTGGAAATAAAAAGTACAGCTCATGCTGGGAACCGGGCCCAGCGTCCCATCCTGAGTCTATCAGACACAGTTTTCCATTTTTGGGAAGTGTGCAGCTGACCAAAACCGACTCAACCACGTGGACGACCGGCGAGATACCTTTCAGAACTGGCCAGGACTTTCTGTCCTCGTCCAGTCGTAAGCAAAAGCTGGCGCGGATTACAGGCTGGTTCCACCGCATGGACTGAAACACCACAATCCAGACCGGGATTCCAAGGCAAGTCCTGACACTCCGTTGGGAATACCGGGGCAACTGGGGGTGATCGAAACCGGTCGGGGAGGCACTTCTCGCAATCGATGTTTCATATTCCAATCAATGTGCTTGAGATTACTTGTTGTTACATGTGTTACATGTGATGATTGAAGTTGTGGATTTGTCTATCCTTATCATATACCAAAGAGTACCCAGATGAGCGTTTTGCAACGGCGCTGTGCAACTTTTCGCGGACGCACGATGCCATGTGGAAACTGGCAGCAGCAGTAGTTGATGTTTGCTAGTGTTATAGGTGTAGAGTCACTGTAGACTATTAATACCATCATTAGGATAGTTTTGTCCTCTTTACGATCAACATTTCATGGGTATACCAACTGAGCTACTCCCATTGGTTTCACCTCCCCTTCCCCCCCCCACCTCGCCCCTCCCCCCTCCCCCCTCCCCCCCAGCTTAAATTAGCAGCCAACAATGTTGAGGAGTTGCACGCAACCATGTTGGCTAAGCTTCTGCTTCTCCCAATGATGATGGCATGGGGGGCACAGTGACCCATCCGTAAATAGTAGGGCACCAACGAAAGAATTCTAATGTCAAAAAACAAAAAAAAAAAGTAGCTGAGGCAGGGGGAACTTTTTGAATTATTTTCACACTCTTTTCAAGTTCCCATTCACTGTTTGTGACCACAAATGCCCAACAAGGAATAAGAAAGCATTCCACCCGGCCCAAGTTATACCTAACCCATGTGGCTGAGTGCAAATCATGAGGTTATGGTAGTGTGGATAGGCAGATCATGAGTTGAAATCCTGATGGGATCAGATCATCAGAATCATCAGATGGATACAATAATGCTAGGGGCTAGGCCCT